TTCAGAAGTGAGGGTCTTCATTCCTCTCGACCAAGTCATCGCTTGGCCACCCCTCCTCTTCTTCCATCCACACCCCCGGCGCGCAAACAACACACGTCGCGGAAGTCGGTGGGCTGGCATGCGTAACATGTGGCCGAGCCATCGGAGCCTGGTGCGCGAAATAACGGTGCTGAGCGGTTCATTTCCTTTTCCTGTGCCATAAACAAGGCGTCGAACACGCTCGTTGTTCACGCGGTGTTCCCACCAAATGTGAGCTAAATTACGAAGGCACCGGTGGTCAAACGTAACTAGCCTCTTCAGGTCCGCTGCTTTAAGCGGCCAGGTTTCACAACCGTACAGTAGGGTCGAACGTACTGCTGCATTGTACACTCTACCCTTCAGGGCAAGAGTGATGTCGCGCCGGCGCCATAAGTGGCGAAGGTAAGCGAAAGCGCCCCGAGCTTTTGCTATACGATTCGTGATTTCATCTTCAATCCCACGAGCGCTGATACAACTTCCCAGGTAGTTGAATTTTTGAACGACTTCTAGCTGATCCCCACCAAGGGTCAGCGTAGGAGGCGGTCCAGACCAATCTTGGAGAATCGCTTTGCACTTCGAGGGTGCGAAGCAAAGCCCGAAGTGACGGACAGCTACTGCTAATCTGTCCAGTGCCGCTTGGCACGTTTGTGAGCTATCACAAATGAGGGCAATATCATCAGCATACTCTAAGTCAAGAAGTCGTTCTCCTGGGAGTAGCTCCACACCTTCTAAGTCGTGTCCTGTGAACGCGATTTCCATGACTTCGTCAACAGCGAAGTTGAAGAGGAAAGGTAACAGCGGGCATCCTTGTCTCACGCCGCTGGAGATATTAAAGGGCGACGACAACTTGCCGTAAGCCCTCACTCTGCCCGAGCTACGCGCATATAATGCTCGGATAACATTCACATATTTCTCAGGTACACCTTTTCTGAGTAGACAGTCCCAAAGTGCATGTCTATCCACCCAATCGAATGCACCTTTGATATCGAGAAACACGACAATGGTGGGCCGCCAATATATGTGACGGTGCTCCAACAACTGACGCAAGGTGAAGATGTGGTCAATGCAGCTACGACCTTGACGAAATCCAGCTTGCTCTTCACGAATCTGGCTTTCACGAGTGGCAGTCAGTCTGTGAAGGATGACAGAGGCAAGCAATTTGGAGGCGATGGGGATCAGACTGATTCCTCTATGGCTGCTGCATTCCGATCGTGAGCCTCCTTTGAAAATTGGGACTATGATGGAGCGGCTCCAATCGGTTGGGACAGTTTCCTGCTCCCACAGTCTCACTAGTAACTCGTGTAAGTCATCCACAAGAGCAGGTCCCCCGAATTTGAAGAGGGCTGGAGGAAGATCATCAGGTCCCGCGGCTTTATTTAACTTCAACAGTTTGATCTCACGTTCGACTTCTAAACAAGAGGGTGGATCCAAAGGCACAGCCCACGGAGCAGGGCGATCAATGGTCGGCGAGAAATCTAACAATTCCGACCGATTAAATTGCCTTTCAAAGTGTTCAGCCCAACGTTCCAGGCGTTTTGATAAGTTGTGGATAGGCTGTCCACTCTCGTCATGTCGAAGAAGCTCGGTCAGTTGGTGATAGAAGTCCTCTTTTACCGAGTCATCGCTACAGTTTGTCGGTGCATAGGCAGCGATAACGAATAGACACCTGTTAGTCCCACGCAACTTCGAAGTTTTGAACGAGCCAGCCAATCGGACCGCACACATCTGGCTACCGATTGGAATCCAATCAACCAGAGCAGCTTCAGCCCGGGGACTCAGGGCAATACCAACACCGGCTTGGCCAGTGCTCGAAGCTGCATCGTCACCGGATAGGCGCAATGAGAAAGTGCTGCTAGTGTCACTTGAAGGGGATCGCAGAGTGAGTACAGAGTTCGAGTCTTGCAGGCGGGTCCCCGATAAGCAGCAGATATCGATCGAGAGGGTCTCCAATGTTCGGGCAAGTGCTGCCTGTTGACCGATCTGAAGCAATGTGCGAACATTGAGGTATGCCAGTCTGAAGGAGGATCGAGGGCTCCAAATGGAAGCCGATGAACTGGAATGGGCCGCTTGCTTGGACATGGGCCTGTTGACAGTGCAGGAATGACGCTCTGCGTTCACCTGTAAGTTGAAACTGAAAGGCAAGCGACTATTGAAGCAAGGTGGGGAAGGGCCGAGAATTGGGGGGTTGAAAACAGGGGGGATAAAAGTAAAGCTGGAACGGGACGATAAGGGTGAAAAAGCGCAAGAAGGGGAATAAGAAGATGGGAAGGCTTGAGCAGTAGCATCCAAACCCCTATCCACCCTGCTCGATGCAGCAGATAAGGCACCGTTGATTATCCTCTGCGGTGGCCAGAGCATCAGCAATTTGTTTGGGGAAGGATTCATTGTATTGCGTGGGCAGGATACTGTCAGGTTGCCCAGGCCTAGACAGGAGAACGATTAGGGTTCTCAACCAAAGCTTTTGGTTCAAAAACCTGGCCGCAAGGCAGCGGGTTTGGCACTGGGCTACAAGGAGTCCGTTTTAAGGAATAAGGAGCCATCATCATTCCAACCCCCAACCTGGAGGACCAGGAGACTGTGTTTGTCTAGCCTCTAACCATTGACCAATCTGGTATGAGTGGCTCTGAAGGTGCAAAAGCACCACCCAGTATAGCTCAATGGATCACTGAGGCACACAAACCATCGCACCACGGTAAGGTCCAGACTCATTGCGAGTTCAGCTGCGTTAACTTTAAGTCTGCCGACCGGTGTATTTAAGTCCCCGGCAAGCCCCAAGATGCCCATGCGGCGTTTTTTCGGTCGGAGGATCGACAGCAAAACGCATGTTTAACTGAGTCGGGACTGCAGTCCATGGGAGCATGCCACTACAACGAACGAACAGCTTCGACTGGCTCCGCGGTTGGATGACCGTACTGAAATTTCTGGCCGAATCGCACAGAGCTGACTGTTAGCAGATATCCAGTGGGGTAGCGAAGCCTCAGCACGTGTGTTTAATACAATCCACACGACTGCATGACTAGACTTAGGCACCTGAGTTCCCAGAAAAAGGAGAGTACCATTGGAACTCGCAGATGATGAGACCAGTCGTAACGCAGTACTGTAGTCCCTGAAACGGGTCCCAGTGAGGCAACAAACGTCAATGGAAGTAGTTTTCAGAGTGCGAGCAAGAGCTGCATGCGATCCGATCCAAATAAACTTCTGAACATTGAAGATACCCAATTCAAATTGGGAATGCTTGCCGATGCGGTTAAACGGCGTACCCTCGGACCTAAATTTTGATGCGTGCGGCTAGGACTATCACCTAGGGCGACACGACGTTGTGGGCTTGGAAACGGAGAGCGATTATCAAAGATGGGGGGGATTGAACAAACGTGGAATAAGGTAACTGGACGGTGGTGCGGTTAGGCAAGATTTAGCATGTTGCACGGCGACACCTCTGTCAAGGTTAGCACCGCTGGAAATCAAAGACAGCGAGCACAGAAACGTTGAAAATTCGGTTTTTAGGTTGCGTAGGCACGGTACGTTCGGTTGGACAGGCCGAGGAAGAGGACTGGCTTAGGAAACCTCACCCGTAGCCCAGACCCATAAAGAATGGACCAATAAGGCAGCTTGGCGAACCGTTGGGAGCCGGATATCAAAGAAAAAGTAACCCAGAAGCCAGGAAATGTTTCCTAGACAACTGAACTCGCCACCAGACACGAAGGCCGTCGACATCCAGCTGGCTCTTACGTTATCATATTTTTTAGTATACATAGAACTCGGTGGCCATACGCTATGTACTCACTTCGGGTTACATAAGTGAGTGATCAGTGACCATATGGATGGTCACATTGGCTTTGACACAGCACCGAATGAGCACTTGTGGAATTTGATGAACATCCAGGTGCCCAGTCTAGGATCCCCAAGCTTTGAGACGTAGCCGCTGATTGTCTGCGACTCCCTAGTCATCTCGCCTGCGAAGGAACGCACGCCCCGAACCGCAAGATGGGTACGCGCCCGGTAGCGTACAACTCCACCGAGTCAAGCAGTGGCCGGTTCACTTCAGCACGTAAATTATAAAAATCAAAAAAGGAAACGGACGTAATCATCATAATTCTACCAGTTAACTAGGAGAGACGAACATCCCAGCTACTGTATGGTAATACAATACAACTAGGTGGTTGCGGAACCCATGGTCTTATCAGAAGGTGCAATAATACTCGGTCGCCCAAGCCGAAGTAGGAAGTTGTATTAAGGGACACCACCTTGAGTCCATGGCGCGTCCGCATAGTAGCGGAGCGTGGTTGGGGGATCGCAAACATAGAGAGCCGGTGGCCGAGTATTCAATTCATATGATTTTCGTTTGGTCGGCTTCACAAGTGAATCCGATCCTCCCCACAATTCCAACAGTAAGCTGCCGGAATACAATGCTCCAGCAGAGTGTAGTAAGGGTTAGTGACTTGATTTAGTGGCGAGCCACATTCACCACGTCACTTTCTGTAGGGAACGTTTGCCAGGCAAAAACGCCACCATGTCCCGGAGCACTGTCGCCGAACACTTCGTTGGAACGGGATGATCTTGTGCCATCCAGCTGGCCGGATGTATAAGGTGAATTCTTCGTAATCCAGATGTTACGAGTTAGAGTCCATGTAGGCGCGAGCGACCTCACAGCATTTCGAATCAGTGCGCGACTGACGGCGGTCGCGTGGAAGTAAAGCGTTGTTGCGGCGCGCCGGCGTACTGCTGGATGGAATGCGTGCAGAGGCGTAATTAATTCTTTGAAGAAACCACGCACATCTAGACCCTATTAGGCTCGATCCCGTTAACTCAGGCTGGGTGGATTAAACGCAATAACGTGTGTTGGGCAATTTCCTGGCTCCATATGGTTTTCAGCAGATGTTTCACAAAAGAAACACGCCACATCGTGTGCACATAAAAAGCGAGTTCACTGGGTGACGAATTAATCCACATACTCTTCCGACAGATACGTGAAGCAAACTCACGTTGAGAAAAATCTGAGGGAATCTGGAGCAAATATACATGACGGATGAAATGGTTCCCAGAGTATATCCAATTTTGGCACCGATTTGCTGGAAAGAAGGAGACAAAATGGATGAGAATGGAGCAAGCAATACATTCATAAACTAGTTCTAAGGGCAGGGTATTGTTCACCTGACCAACCACGACCCAGTCACCTCGACTGATGTCACTAAGTGTCACCAAAATGACAAAGACAAATCTAACAGGAATGGATACGAGATGAAAATTAGCAGTAGTTAAGAATCGAAATGAGGGAACGGAAGCGGGAACACCACTGAATTTGGGTCTGCACCATAAATGATACGGTAGGTAACCACTGATGTGACAGATTCCGAGACCCCAATCGGGAATGCGAAAGGCATCAACTTGTGTGTATGAGAGAAGCTGTTACTGGGATGTTATTGTTTGCGTTTGTGACAAAGCAACGAACTTCAAGCTCAATCGAGACGCTAGTTACTACGAAATGCTCTGGCGCCTGTTGATCGCTGTCCATGTGGTGTGATAGAGTACAGGTGTGGCCAACGTTTTCAGTCGATTGATACGTCTACGTGAGACCCCCCCAGGTGGAGCACGCGATCCAAGCCTGGCGACCTTGGCGAAAACACGATGCAGCTGCGCTCGAAGGTCCACAAGGTAGGGCGACGAAAATCGTTAGAGGACTGTTTGGTCTCTCCTACCAGAGCAAAATGCAAGCCATAGCCTTGTACAGCGGCGAATACCGGCGTCTGCGAGGAGACCCTATTATACGGTACATAATATTGACTAACGCCAATAACGACTGTCGCAAGTCAGCTACAACACCAGCCTGAGAGACCACCAGCTCAAACTGACCACACACCACAGTTGACTTGATTGCCGACAAAACTTCTTCTACCTTCGTGGATCCAGAACGTGGAATGCTTTACCTTCTCACACTATTTTCGGCCCATATTAACGCTTTTTTTAAAACGATTGGACTACAATCCATCCCAGTGATATTCCACCGAAAGACGATGTAACGCAGTGTGTCCACCAGCTCTCTCCGTTATATAGCGGTGAGCAGACCAGCATGTACTCATGTGAATAACTCGGTGAGTCACCGCAAACTAGAATGTTCCTTTTCTCCTGTCCTTTTGAACATTCATTTATTGCGCCCCACTCCGATCATTCTACGGTACTTATCAAGCGATGCCCTGTCGCCTGTTATAAATCATTGGTTATTGATTATAAAAGCATGGTAACCCACTTCTGAAGGCAATTTGCGGAGTAAAAAGGAGTGCTCTTTCTTCGAATCGACGATAGCAAGTGGGAGTTTGTGATCCGTGACCCGTGTAATGTGGTGGCGATGCATCTTTTTATGAAACTTCTTGATGTCATAAATGATTACTAGCGCTTCACATTTAATCGGACTGTAATTGCGTCCTACTGGAATCAAAGACCGGGCGGTATGGGTTACTGCCTCCTCAGTTCCGTCAGGAAAGCGGTGAAAAGTAATTGCACCAACCCCATATGTAGACACATCCGTCGCAAAAACGAGGCTCAATCGTAATGAATCAGTAGCAGGCTTGGTGACAGTTTTGATTCTGTCAAAACTCGGCTACACTTTGCGCTCAGGCACCACGTGAAATACTTGAAAAGTAATACGTCACATCAGATAAGTTCAGTTGAACAACTATGATCCGAGCATCGAAGTGCGGTGGATCTAGTTGCCACGACCCACAACATAAGAATAGAAACTAACAACGGTAGGACAGTGGGTTTGGATGCGAATAGAATGTGCAGAAAATAGAAGCAAATAGGAAATGCGTTAGACTAATCAGAATAGAACAAAAATTAACGATTAGATGAAAGAAACCGAATGCACGAACGCCACTGATTGCGTGACTGCGCCATGTCCGACACGGTCTCCAATCATTGGTATGGACCGTCCGGAGGCCCTTATCCACGAAGACGCACGCACGAGCTTGACCAAGTCTCTCAGTCAATATCCTCATGCCACTATGCCACGTCATGGACAGATCACCTGGCGGTTTCGCCCAACTTGGTGCGGCCACGGCGTATAATGCATGCAGAGAAAGCCGATCAACGGGCTTACGGGGAGCATGGCTTAGCAAACGTAAGCAACTAAGATTCAGGAAACACTCGAGTGAGGAACCAGAACGCTTCTTGTCGAAAACCAACTGGCGGACGTCAGCATCGCTCACCTAGTGTTCCACCAAATGTGAGTGATACTTCGCAAGAACCAGTGATAAAACACAATAATGCGTTTAATGTCTTAACTGCGAACTGGGCAGATCTCTGATCCATTCAGTAAGACCAACCTTACCGCAGTGTTATACGCCTTACGTTTTACTGACAAGTTGATTTCCTGTCGTCTCCATAGATGGCTGAGTCTCTGGAAAACCACACGGGTTTTGCTGATACGCGAAGTAACTTCCTCAGGGAGGTGATCACCAGTGGTGACAGCTACCAAGATAAGTGAACCGATTCACCACTTCCAGTGACTGTTCGGGGACAGCTAGAAACGGAGGTACGTCGGTCCAGTTTTGCAGCAGCATTTTGCACTTTGAAGGTGCAAAGTATATGCCGAAGTGCGCAGAGCTACGCGTCAGACTATCCAGCAGTGTTTGCATAACCAATACATCAGACACAAGGAGAATTGTGTTGTCCGCGTACTCCAGGTTTGTCAGTTGGTCTCCTGGAAGAACTCACACTTCAGAGTAGTCTGAAAGAACCAAGTCATTTATGATTATTTCAGCAACAAAGTTGAAGAGGAAAGGAGATATAGGACAACCCTGGCGACCTCCACTTGTCGTGGGGAACTCAGGAGAGAGTTTCCCGAAGACTCTTACACGGCCTCGGAAATCATGATAGATAGACTACAGAGTAAGGACTTTAGCTGGCACGCCCTTTATGGATAGGCAGTGCCACAAACTGTCTTAATCAACAGAGCCGAAGGTAGCTTTCAGGTCAAGTAAAACCATCAAAGTCGGTCATCTGCATGAGTCACTGCTCTAAAACTTGGCGAAGAGTAAATATGTGGTCGGTACAACCAAGACCAGGGCGGAAGCCAGGTTGGCTTTCAGGGATTCGGTTCACAGGGGGACCAGTAGGCCGTGGAAGAATAATATCCGTGAGAAGCTTTGAGGCACACAAAGTACGCCGACCCCTCTTGAAGATGGGCACAGCAGTTGATAGTCGCCAGCCTGAAGGCACTTCTTCACTATATCATAAACAACTGGCACAAATGCACCGCGGGCTCACAAATCACAAGAAGCGTCGCAGCGTTGTCACGTCATGTGCACCAATATGCACCCCAATATTAGCCGGCTCTGGCCTTTGCCCGTACTGATGAAGCAGTAAGCCCAAGAATTTAACCTTATCTATAGGTAAAACACAATTTTCCTCGCTCATGAGAAACCCATAATCCTGGATTCGGTCTAGCACGTTTTCAATCCGATTTTTCTGATCAACTGGATCAATGCCCGTGATAATTGTGGAGCCATAAGTATATACTATTGCGCCAGGAATCAGTAGTATAAGGGTAATAGGTGAACCGGACGGTAATGAGCTAAAATTGGACCAAACCGACGTTTTAACATGAGCGGAACGCTTGACGGCCGCAGATGGATGTGTGCCAGAAAAAATCACTGAAGCAGTGCTTGATAAGGCTTCGAACAAGAACGTGCCACGCAACCCTCTAGGAAGATATTCACAGATGACTTAAAGGTGGATGGTCAGACAAAAATGCACATGGCACATGCTCGTTGCCGTGATAAACATGTCCGTTTACACCTCGTGGGTTCTTGAATTATGACAGCACCAAGGTATGTTGCAACAGATTTAGTGTCCAGTGAGAGGATGCAGATGACTCGCTGGAAAACCATAGGCGCAGTTTTTTTCACTCCAAATGGTAGGTATGTGTACCGAAATAGACCCCGATGAGTATTGATAGCATTTGAGGAGAACACTCGGAGACTGCCACTTGAAGAAATGCAGCTTGTTGTGTCGCAGCTGACGCCTTCACCTCACGATCGCAATAAGAACTTCAAAGACGTGCCGGGAAAGAATCGTAAGCATTCAATCGTGTCTGATTAAATGGTTTTAAGAATGGTCCGAAGGGAAACTACTAAAAAACATGGCAGCCAACCATAGTTCTAAAAGCATGCAGACAAAATGAAGCCAACTAAGAGTGATCAACAAATGAACCAATAAGAGACATGCAACGAACGAAAAGAGAGTGTTAGCAGACAAGCGGGATTGCGATCCGAGGGCAAAAACAGTGACCACAAGCAGCGGAATGATGTGTTGAAACAAACGTCAGTAACAGCGATAGCTGAAGGAAACAAATCAGTAACTACGAGTATTTTTTTCAAAAGTTGTATGTGCAATACGTGTCTCCCCTAATATTCTCTCATCTTAAAAATCAATTACCTGAGGACGGTATAGTTTTTCTGACGAAGATCCACTTGAAAAGGTTGTGTAAATTTTCTGCTTCGTTTCTGCCTGTGCCATACCTCATTGCCCATGAATTCCATAGACTGAATTTCACTTCTCCTAAAAGTTCTAGGCGTGCCACTGTTCAGCAGTTCATTGACATCCAAACCGTTGGCATTCCGAACGACAGCATCTCGGGTATACCATGGCCTCAGTTGATTCGCATGGCGTCTCCATAACGGCGTGCCGACTTGAACATCGTACATTACCATGCTTCGACGTCGCACGACTCGTGCTGACATACAAACAATCTAGCACCCATGATTAGAGGATGTAAATAGGAGTTCGTCAACTTTGAAATTTCTTCCCCTTGCCCTATACCACCTGTTGTATAGCCTTTCCATGACTGAATTCCTTAGTTGTAGGTTTGGATGCTTTGGAGTCAGCAGGTCTAGCGTCGTTCTTAGCCTTCAACCCATAAGGGCTTCAGCTGGTGACTTCCCCTCCGGCAAATTGGGATTCGAGGTAACTAGGTACTTTAACATAAACCGTTCCAATCTCTCATCCAATGTCCCCCCCCTTTTGACTTCAGCAATACAGGTTTCAAAGTATCTAAAAAATTTTCCGCTTGGCC